GGCGAGTACAAAACAGGATGGATTGTATCAGACTTACGGCAACTCGAGACATTTGGTGTACAAATGGTGATCAAGTAATGGCAATGTTGTAAAAAGCGGTAATCGGGTCCGAGTCGGTCAGGCACCGACTCACGATTAATCGGTGCGACGGTGATTAATCGGTGATAAATCGGAAATAAATCGGTTTTTAAAATTTAATATAATATATTTGTAGATATTATTTATAAACACTCAAAACATAGATAACAAATATTTAAACATAGTTATATCTCCATCATGTATATATATATTCTAATAATATAATAAAAGTTTAATAATAATAAGATCATAATACATAAATATCCTTATAAAATATAAATAAAAAGACAATTTTTTTTGAATTTACATACATTCTTGGCATACATCATTAGTTCTTTAAAAATAATAATTAACATAAACAAAATAAAGCATAAACTCTTTTTTTTATTAAAATCCCAACTTTTATTTTGATTTATAAAAAAAAAAAAAAAAAAAAACACCGATTTTTGACCGATTTTTTGCCGATTTAACCGCCTCGGACCGCCTCAGACCGCCTCGGACCGCCTCGAACCGCCTCAAACCGCCTCACAGGCAAAAAACCGATTTTTCAAACCTTTACACTAAAATCGTAAAGGTTTTGGACCGCCTCCGCCTCGGCGACCGATTAATCGGCCGCCTCGGCCGATTTTTAGAACACTGAGTAATGGTAACACATTGGATTGTGTAATGAAAAAAGTTGTTGATATTCAACTTCGTGGCAAATAATAAAACGGTTTTATTTCTCAATTTCTTCCCTCCTAACTAAAATTTGAAATTTAAAAAAAAAAATCGATAACCATGTTATATATGTTTTTTTTTTTTTTGTTTAAAGATTTTCAAAAGGGTTCGAAAATTTTGTTAGGGATTTATCAATTTTTTATCTATCTAACAATATATATTAATTGAAAACATGTGAAATTATCATTTAGCATGCCAATTTCGTATATACATCATTTCTATTTTGATCCGAAAAACTAAAAAATAAAAATTCTTAGTTGCTCTTTTGTATATTGTGTAGTATAATTTAATTATTTTTTAATTTTTTTTAAATACCACAATAAAAGAAAATCCCTTTAGAATCAAAATATCGCAATATATTGTCAATATTTTAGTTAAAATGTCATAAAAAATATTTGCAGGGTGCATATTTGCCATGACATATATAATTTGAGGGTGATCTTCAATTTCAAAATATTAGGGTGCAAAGTGCTACTTTAGGTTATTTCTGGGGTGCAAAATGTATAACTAATAAATGCATAAGCAAAATGTTTATATATGCTTCATTACATATTTACATTGAGTATCAGATTTGGCTCATTCGATAACAAAGTTCTGAGCACATCTTCATAATTGAGTATCATTTCTTTTTCTTTTTCCTTTTTTTTTTATTTTTTTATTTTAAAGACTAATTCCAATTATGTTTTAAAAAAACTCGGAGATATCGGGAATCGTAATAATTTCAAAAATTTGATAACAAATCGGAGTATCTAATTAGGTTACGTAATTTGTTCGAAATTTTGATGATTTATTAAATGGGTTTTTTTTTTGCATAAGTCTCTCACCAACCATCTTTATTATTCTAAGTTCGGTGTTACATCTCTTTCGCCAATAAACTCATCCATTTAATATGTATTATAAATAAAGAAAAAATTAATATATATAACAAAATTACCCTGAACGCTTTGCACCTAATTATTAATTGTAACCCCAATTTAATCAAGGGAAAAATACATTTTGTTCACAAAAATCCAATTTTTTTTTCCTGAAACTCTTTTTTTGCCGCCGGTTTCCGGCGTTGCTTTTCGATATTTTTTTTTCTGGTCCGTTTTTTCAGCTGTCGGTTTCCGATGATGACTTTTTTAATTTTCTTTTTCTTTTTCTGCCGTCTGTTTCTGGCGTTGACTTTTTTTAGTGATTTTTTTTTCCTAAATTTTTTATCCGTTTTTTTACGCCCGCCGCTAAACGTTGACCGTAATTGTACTATCATTAACAGTAGTTATACTGTCACTTTTGTTGTGTTAATATTACTGTGATAGAGATTAATATAACAATATTACTATGTTAAACTGTAGTATAGTTAATATTACTGTGTTTAACAGTAATATAGTTAATATTACTGTCAACCACAGCAAAATTACTGTTTAAACGGGGGCAAAAAGATGTTAATGAAAAAAAATTCAAAACAAATCGAAAAAGTCAACGCCGGAGACCGTTGTTGACAAAAAAAATTGAAAAAGTCAATGCCTGAAATCGGAAGAAAAATCAGGAAGAAAAAAAAAATCAACGCCGGAGACCGGCGGCGACGGACGAAATTGTACTCAAAATTGTATTTTGGGTCAAAATTGAATAATTTGTGAAATTTAGGGTCAAATTGAGGTTAAATTAAATTAAATGAAGAAAGTTGAACATATTAAAATGTGAGGGGGCTATCTTAGTCTTTTACAAACTTCTCGACAATGTGTGGACATTTTTGTAAAAGAGTTTTTTGTGTGAACCCTTTTATAAATAAGTACAATTGATGAGCTTATTTGTAAAGTGCCCTCCCTTATTAAAATTATATATTATAATA